TAACATCATAATAACATCATAATAATATCACTGTAATAACATCACTATAATAATATCACTATAACAATGTCTTTATAACAATAACGTCATAACAATACCACCATAATAATATCACTATAATAATAATATCACTACAATAAAAATACTATAATAATGCCACAACCAGTTTTCGAAAGCACTGATAACCTGAGCTGTATTAGCAAAGTGAAAACTTACCAAAGCTAAAAACTCACGAGCACTTTCATCCGCATCATTACTGCCAAAAGCAGAAGTAGCGCCTGAGGCAATTTGCTTTGTTTCACCTAAAATTAAAAGCATTTATTTAAAAAATTTTTATCAATTCGAGCGAAAATGTGCAGGCCACGAAGAGATGGACTGGTCAAATGCAAAAAAAAAAAATCACTTTTCAATGATGGACAAAACGGATTATTGAACAGTACCCGTGCAAAAACACTAAAAGCTAGGGAAGGCTGCTCTGAAAAATTCAGAGATTTGTTCTGACTGGAAAATTTTTTTCACTTTTTTTGCGTTAAAAATTTAATAAAAATCGCCTTACCTAATGAATCGGGGCCAAGTGGCACCACTGCATCCAGCTTGCTGCTATCCTCCTCCACCATTAGTGGTACGCGAAGAAGCTGCTCCGCTGTTGGACGCTTGGACGGCTCCTTTCGCAGCATATCATAAACTAGGACACGTGCTGCAAATACTACATCTGTCTCAGTGTGATTATCGTTGAAATACATATTTTTTGAATTATATTTGATCAACTTTCCCTTTTTACTTGGAGATGCGGGGGAGTAGGGGGAAGAGGAAAGACAATAAATATCATGCATCTCTGCAAAATCGATGAGTTCGGCCCGCAACCCCTTCTGGAGATGAAACGAAAATCAAGGGAGGGGTGGCGTCACTAGCGGGCTGACCAAAAGGGATTGGTCAAAACAACTGGAAAGTAACCTAGCTGGAGACCCAGAGTGAAAGAAAAACAGGTTTAGTGTTGGATAAAAAACAGGTTTTTCATTAATTTCGAGCAGAAGCAAATTGGTGACTTCCCGAAGCAGAATCCTAAAAAGTGACCAATTACTTGTTAACAAGAAGTGATCAAATTTTGACCTATGCAAATTCATCCAAACTGACCTGTCTGCGACAGTGAAAGATGTGGTGGTATGCAAAATTTTGCTTTCAAAATTCGACAGAAAAGCTTCTGTGGTGTTATGTCGTGAAACGGATAGCTGAAAAATCATTCGTACTGGTCGATGGGCTCAGAAATTGCTAAAAAAAAAGAATGCTGAAAAATTGTTGATATTTCCGCTGAAAACTTGAAAAATTCCTTGTTTTCTCTGATTTCCTCGAAAAACTGCTCGAAAAAAAAAAACGAACTTTCCACAGAGCAAAACAAACAACAGCACTCCGAGTGCCCAAATATCTGCTGGACGTCCAGCATAATCCACCGAA